CGTTAAAATATGCTATTTGGTATTAAAGGCAAGTGTTTTCGCGGTACCAACAAAATTTCTTTTCTGGGTTGCTTCTTTGGAAAGCAGAACCCGCGGGCAGATCCCGCGAAATAGGAGCCATTCGAGATTTGACAGTGCTTCTGTTCCAAAAGTGGCTTGGCCTGGCCACATTCTCGCACAAATATAGTGCAAACTTTGCTGACATGACACCATACTCACGATCTTTTTAAAAGGATGCTTGACGGCGCCGGGGTGCATCAAAAAGGCGATCCTCAAGTCTGGAGAAAAAAGCCTCGGGCTTGCCCCAATTCTGTCTCTTCTGGATACAGATTTGCCATTTCACGTTATCTGTTGCATTTCGGTCTTTTGCAATATGCCAATCGCGATAGCGTTAAAGTCTTGCCAGCTGAATGCTGTCGGATGAACGACCCGGTTCGGCAAGACAATCATTCGTATTTTCGGACCGGTATAGCATTCGAGTGCGCTACAAGCGGGGTCGGCTTAATGCGGTGATTGATGCGTTTCAGCGTCACCCCGAATATAAATTGTCGTATGTTATGGTGGTGGCGTCGCCAACTGAGTAGGTGACAAATACAGCGCAACGGCTAGATGCAACATGTGTAGCGTTATCAATTTATCGAAAACAAGAAATTGGTAGCTCAAATGTTGCTTTATTGAACGCTCGCGTGCACCACTGTACTGTATCCTAGGGATTGGTACTGATCGACATACCACTCAGCGGGCGGTGGTTTCTCTCGTAATGAGAACCACCAAGTAAAGTATACTGTAAGGGGCAAATGATAACCCTTTCATGGACGAGAAAAGAAATACAGATCCGTAAAACTACGTTTTGGTGGTACAACATAAACAGATGGACCAGCTCATGTATAAGCACGTTTGTATGTGTCAGCAGCGAATAATTCTCGCTGCATGTGGCGAAACTTCTAGATAGCCAATCAATCCCAACCGAGTGTTGGCATTCTTTGAGTAGCCATATTTCGTTCAAATAACACCTTTGATAATACTGGTATTGTGAACTTTGTGAGCCAGCTGAGCGAATTGCTTCACCTCGCTACTGCCAACGGCAATATGAGAGGCGAGGATCCGGCCATGATGGCCCACGACTAAGTGTTTCGCCAATACGATTTGTCGGGATCCATTTTACAAATACATATTCGCGCTATATAACGAAGATTATGCAAACATTATTCGATGTGCATGACATCGCTTTGGATATGTCGATTACTGCATTCGCGAGCAAATTATTATGCAGAAATCATAAGATTCGCTGTGGGGGAGATCTTCCGACACAATTGCGCCGAATTTAAGAATCTCGCTCCGAAACTACAGTATGGCGTTCGAGCAAGATTCTCAAGCCAATGGTTTTGTGTTAAATGGCGCCGTACACCCTTTCACAGGCATTACTCTACTTTACAATTGCTTTGATGAAATACCCACTGCCTTGACACTACCAAATGTGGAGTGGAGTAGAGAGTCAGGATCAAATTTGAACTGCTGATATCAGCCCGCCTTAATTTTTTTTTAATTTTGTAGCAAAATTAGTGATTCTTTCTCGATGAGATTGAGCGTCATAAAAAGAGGAGAATATGGCTGAGTGTAAAGATGCTGGGGATAGTCGGAATGGAATCAAAGGGTTTTATTGAACGCAATAAACATATGAAGTGTTTGCGGTTAAGAACAACTTTTGCCCGCTGCATCAGACTGCTCGAGTTTGTAACGAGCATGAAACTAACTCAACTCTAAACTTATTTAAGAATATGCAACCAACGTGCTCTTTGTGGTTTTACTGAAGTCATGTCATGATCCCGCTCGTACGAGTAGGTTAGATGTGGAGCCACGTTGCAGGTGAAGCAACATCTCCACCGTCACCTGTAGCTGCAGTGTCCTCTACTCTAGAGCGACGACGTGATTTGGAGCAACAGGAAATTCCAGTGCGCGGCGATGCTCAGAGAGCGCATGATACATCTGGTTCGTCTTCTTTTCGAGCGCGCACAAAAAAGCTTGGAGAGTGTTGATGTGCCGCTAATATCAGTAGTTCCCACGGGAGCCGGCTGTAATGGGTGATGAATATAATGAAGTAAGCCAAACTTTAGTTGATACCAAATATCATCGTTTTTCTGCAAAGAATTTTTCGTGAACCTCAAGAGCTCTGATTAAAGAGCTCGCGTTGATGAACGCACAAAGTATAGGTTCGTGTACTATATCAAAAGCAGGAATGAAAGACCCATATCAAATAAAGCGCTTCATGCAGATTATTCATTGAAAGCAACATATGTATAAAGTGAGTCAACTGTGATATCTGCACTACTTTTGACAAGAAAATTCTGCGTAGCGTGATGTCAGCTCCCGCTCTCCCCGAACCTTAGCTTCTGTAATCCTATCATGATAAACCATACCGGTACTTACTACAATCCTTTATCCAATTACTTAACTTTTCAGCTTCTGGGCTTCGTTTAGGGTCTGAGGGGTGTTTGTACAATAATGGATCTTACACCATAATATGGTTCGAAGGTTTATACAGTCTCCTCAACGAAAAGGATGCAGCGCACTCGCTGCAATCCACAGCACCTGTTCCGGAGAGCACCTTTGTGTCGGAGTCTTCTCACCACACAGCTTGGCGAGACTTCGTGAATGGCGCTTTCCTCGCGACGTCATTAGATTGATACTGGGGAAAGAGGCCGAGGTATTTTTTGATGAATTCATAATAGTGACCCTCCAATATTTTTACCTAACAGCTCCGCGTACGACCTAAAAAAATTATGCCTGTGGACCACCAACACTCTGCTGAACCGGCAAATTGGCCAAAGACGCAGACGCATGCAGCGTGGGTGAGATTTTTTGACACGTTGTACCCGTGAGTTATGATTTGATTAATCCAGATTACGACATAAATCAAAGCGCTTACCGAGCAATATATATTTTCTGCACCGAGGTGGCAACTTCTGTATCTCCTACGGTAATTGTACTTGAGGCTCTCATCAAGATAACCGGACGGTGAGTAGCAAGTGAGTATGTGCAATAAATGCACCAAGCCTGGAAATGAATAGCGCGCAACCGCGTACTTCGATGCAGCGGTAGCTGAGCATACAAACATATTATCTCCCACAGCATTTAGTAATACAACACGAATTGCCTCTGACCCGTTGCGTGTCTCGTCTCGTCAGTCGGCGTCGTTACCATGTACGCCGTCTTTAATAATGAGGGCGACGCAAAAGCGACTTCACCACCAATTCGGCCATCTCAGCTGAAACCTTTTCTTGACGATGACGTCGGCATAGAAGGCAACTATTTTTCCGTTTTACGAGAATGATGCGGTGACGATCATGCTGTGCGCAACGACGAATAATTGCAAAAGTAGAGCCAAGCGGATAAATCCTGAACTGGCTAAATTCATAATTTATTGCTAGTAGCTCATCGTCGTGAACAGGGAAATTCTTCTCTGCTGCGAACGCTGGCGAGTCGCAAACGCGATTACGTTTTCATTGCCATCGACAATTCACTTAATGAATTACATAGTCTTTGGTAAATGCTGAAGTATCACAAATGCTATGAAATGAATGATCTGGATTCGAAAGGGCTAGAAGGGGGTTACACATGCGGCTTTTTAAACAGCCATTATAGCCACCTCTTCTGATGTACCCCAACACCATTGACATCCTTTTTAGGGAATTGATGAGGAGCCGTGTTATATCAGCATGATTTGTACTCCACTTGTGCTAGTCTCTGGTCAGATCAAGCCTTTCTCTTGTGTTCTATTGAGACGAAAGCACTGACCACTGTACAATAGCATCATATAAGGGGATCTCTTTACAGGCTTCCTTATGAAGATTTCTAAAGAAGCCTGCAATCCTTTATTGTGGTCTCAAACATACAGTAAAAGCCATTATATATTTATCGATTCTCATGTCTTGAATATTCTCCCCACCGCAATCTCGTCTAGTTTACTTACCAATAGTTCTAGTTGCTATTGGCTGCATTTCTATATGGATATCATCGATAGCATGGCACATGAAAGACACGGCGTCTAGCGACTCCAGGAGGTACCGAACGGTTCATTTAGTATACTAATTTAATGCACGCAATGTATGGTGCGTGTGTAAACACGGTCTGCTGGTGGCAGAACCAATTAGGTAGTGGGGTAAAGTCAGACTAAATTGGAGCACGGTGCTCAAAGAACGCGGTGCGTATAAGCGAAGGTGATAAGTGGAAGTGACATTAAGACCATGTTGGCGAGACGTTTGGATGAGTAGATCTTACCAAATTCACCGGGAGTCTACAACATTGCTCCTTTTGCGACTTTGTGTGAAGTAGCAAGTGATAATTCCAGCTTCTACACTTTTCATTTAGTTCGAGTATTGGCCACAGCCGATGCTAGAGGGTTGCAGCAAACCTCGCTAAAATGAAGCTTTGACTCTCGAGTCTTCGTTCTGTAACGCACAGAAGCTGGGTTTGCTGGCCTTGACTCAGGTGCAACATTGAGAGCCTCTCACAAAACTCGTGCTTAGCTTTAAAAGTGGTTCAAGCTTAAAATAATACGAAACATAGCCGTATCGTACCTTTCGTGAGACTTGCAACTCACATAGGCTCTCAGTCTTGACGGATGCATTGCCGACATCTTCGCCTTCTGATTTTGTACACACGTGACCTCATGATATTTCATACACATGCCATTAATTTACCAGCTGTCTGTCATCTTTAAATATCTGAGCTACTTGTTCAATCGAGAGAAGTTGACCGTCTTCATATTTGACAGCATTCGTGGGTTATGCAAAGACAACGACTGCTAATTATGAGTCCGGCTATTGAACTAGTATGTAAAGCATTGTCATACTTTATGATCAAAGCCTATTTTGAAACAGCGATGACGTTGTTAATGTAAACTTGGTGAAACCGTGGCGAAAGCGCATCAACGAGCTGCAGCGACTAAGAATTCGTCAGTTAGGATTTCAAACTTGCCACTAGCGTAAAACGTTTAGAATATGGTGACAACCGAGCACCAGAAATTTGACGTATTGATTTACCGGGCACATGGGGTATCAAGCCGTGGCGAGGACGCTGCGGGTGTTCAGCTAGTCGGGACTGCCATCAGTCCGCACGACTGACCTAGGTGGCAGTTTGGGTGCTGGTTTTGCCATGTCCGGATATTTGGCTAGCGATAAAAAAGTTTACGGGTTGCAAGATGGCGAATTGATCCCGTCAACGCGCCACCCCAAATTCCCTGAAGACTCGCTGAGCGATCCACCGCCTCCTCCATTGGCTCTGTTCCTGGCATAAACTACTCTGCAAAAGCAAGAAACTGCGAGAGGAAAAGGCGCCAACTCAAAGCGGAAGTGCAGCCTCAGTGAAATTAGGCAACAAGAGATTCGGCGGTTTTGGTCGATATCACGAATCAGCATCATGTACGAAACGGAGAAGATGGCGTAAATAGTTGTGTTAATGGTGTTCCTAAGGTTCTGCAATCGAATGGCAGCAAATTCTACATGCAGCTGTACTACGGTAAGTCAGCAGTACCGAGGTGTACTGCTGACTTTTGTCAGTAAAACAAGCAGTTTTTGATCAGACACAGAAATGGTCTTTGTCTATTGGTAGCTGTATATGTATACGACGGCTTACATGAGAAGGCCGCTCGCAACTTGATCATCGCGTCGACGATTGGTGGATGACATGGATAAGTAGCAGGTCGTGAAATTGTTTCAGCAAGAAAGGATGCTAATTGCAGCTGGAATAATCCTCTGCTCTATCCTGTGGCACTTGTGGAGGCCACTATGTTTGGACCTTTTTAAGCTCTTAACGATGTGTTTGAAATCACCTCGGCCAACGTAAAGATGGTGCGTTTGCGAAGCTTGACACAAGATGTGTACCTGGCTCTCACCAAAAACTTCATGACGTTTTACTAAATCAGGATGAAAGCCAAACAGACCGCGGTACCAGCTAGGATGTGGTTAATGCGCTCGCGAAAATTTGCAAAGGTTAAAACTGCGTTGAGGTTTGGCACTTGTCGCGCTACAGCATAAGAACTTGCTTTGGCGGCAGGAGTGCCATGTGGGCACTCATGACAGCTTCGAATCACGATCGTAACAAAGAAAATTCCTTTGACAAAAACCTTTACTAAGTCGTATTGACGGCAGTAATGGTGGTCAGTCCGCACTTCATGCTGGACGTTGAGTGCGAATGGCTGAAAATGGCACTGTTGAAGAATCTAGCACGATTCATGCATGGTACGAAACGGGATAAGTGTTAAAGGCAAACTTAGTCTGAAACCCAACAAGAAATTAGGGAATATTGCGCCAATTAAGCGAGTGATTGCTGCCATCTCCAGCGACTTACAAGAACTGATCACGCCGCACAACCAGAATAAAGCTGGTATCCAGTAAGCTTTTTTGCCCGCATTGTCGGGTCTTCATCTGAAAATGAAGGGTCGGATAGCTAAGAGGTTCGAACACTTGGATTCCCTTAAGTAGCTGTTTGATTGCAAGGTTCGCGTCCTCTGTACAGACGGTGGGGGGGGAGTACAAAATCGTTGACTTGTTTCGTGCAAAATTTGGCGTATGTAGCTTGTTTATCCTGGATTTCACAACACAAGTCGCGAAAAAATCACGGCGATACCAGGGTACGGTGCGGTATGATTCGCCCACGAGCTTCGCACGCAGGGCCCGACACTCTACACGTTCCAAAGTCTTCAGTCTTTGATCGGTTGGGTAACCTGTTACACGGGACCAGACGTGGCGTTCGCAATATATCGTGCGACAAAACGACGCAGTCCCTGACGGTCCAGGACTTCAAACTTTACAAGAAGATCGACTGATGTAGTTGTGAATTGGCCTGTTACTATGAACTGTGACTCGAAGCTGGAGAAGTTCCATTTTACAGTGATGCCGACTGTGCTGAAGACCAAGCTGACACGAAGTCTGCGGATAGATTGACAATTAACATGCTTCGGTTGCCCTGTCAACCGCTGAGGTTGAACACGCAGCCGCTTTGATCGGTTCAAAGAAGCTCCTGGGCGGGAATGAGCTGGTCACAATGGTTGGAATCCGTGTAAAGCTGTCAATAAGCCAATTTAAGCAGCAAGATACGACTCAAGCATGTCAACTTACATTGAAGAATTTTAAGAGGAGATCGTAGAGTCACCATGCTTGTGGCGTCGAAATGATCAAGGCAGCCAGCGCCGGTAGTGCTGGAGCTTCTCGATAATCTTCAGGCTTTTGTGAGCATTTGAAATCATTGAAAAGGACTGGGAACGAATACGGTAGATACGCTGCCAACTACAGGTGTGGAACACCAACATACGTGATTTGTAAAGACAACTACTACGTGAAGAAGATTGGACGATCACAGACGTCGTGCCTATTGTATGTTTAATGCCAGAAAGTAATCAGATGATTGATCTAGCTTTTCTTACTCGTATACTAAGTACATCGATTATCTCTCTTATTGTTATTTAGCATCACCCCAAACCTGCTTGTATTAGCCAAAGTCGAGCTACAAGACAGGAGTACGTTCGTGCTGTCGAAACTTTCCAGTTCGCAGGACACTTTGTATCAATGTTTGACACGTCGATCGCACGCAAACTCTTCGATCTACATTATGCTGATACTGCACAGGTTGCCACTCAACCAAATTACGTAGATACGCCGCATACGGGACTCAAAGCATAAGGTTCCATCATATGAGTCCTTCTCAATGCCAAGTCACCTTTAGAAAAAGATTGTGGTACATTGCTTATTGAAAAACTATACGAAAACCATTTGAATGCGTAAAACCTCTTTGCGTGAGCAGCTTGCCAATAGTGCATTTTAGCGTTGATATCAGTACTAGCCTATGAGTGCTCTGCTGGCTCTCAGTTTCGTGTTACTCAGAACCTCGTTGGCGGCGACAACATTGCTGACCCATGATTTTATGCAGAATGTAGAGATCGCCTTTATATGCACTAAGTTCCGCCGACTATTCTCGTCAAGACTCATGTGCCTCTTGAAGCGGGACCTAAGCAATGCCCAACCATCAAGGAAGTCTAAGCAAGTTCGTTGAAACCACTAATATAGTGTCACGGTGTTTTGATTTCATCAACGACATTCACCTCGGTGGTTTGTGGATTGTGTGACAGTATTCAGATAAAACCAAATTGGTGCGATTGCGAGCACGTCCTTACTTGAATCGTGATATCAATATGAAGCGGCACGACATACCGTTTCTTTTCTCCGGATATTAATGAAAAAAGCTCAGACTTCTTCTGGCAGCATGCACAGCTTCTCGATAGTCGTTTTCACGCATGCTCGCCAAAGCTTCAAGTACAGATCGATTTTGAGTATGTCGTAATATATAGCTGAGATTACTTATGAAGGTTTAATACGCGGGAACTGTTCAAGGTTTGAAGTTTTCGTTACAAGGCGAGAACAGTGGTGAAATAAATCCCGTCGGGATCTCCAATGAATATGCTTAGTTCTATACCAGAACTAGATTAATGACAAAAAGCACAGCGCTGATTACTAGTTAACGTGTGCTAGACGTTGGCGCTGGGTGTCACGTTTTTGAGGCTCCATTACATCGCTTTTGGATCATGAGTAGGATCCTAAGTAGTCAGAAAGTGCTCGGATCTATTCTGTCCAGACGTTTTGACGCATTTTTGGACCATGCAGAGCACGGATGGCTCGTGCTGCACGTCGCCGTTTTATCGTTCTAGGGATGCTTCATACATTTTGGACTACAGGAATCCATTCGCAAAGCTTTAGGTCGAAGTCGAGCCACTTTGCTCCACCAAGAAAGCATTTTTTAGCTAGTACGCTCGTCTTTAATAATATGTGATTTTATGCTTGTGCTTGAAATTTGCTCGAGAAACATTGCACTTCATTTGACAATTAAGGTTGAGCTATAGTGCATGCGATCCAAACAACATGCCCACTAGCAACAATAAAATTTGCTAATGCACTTGAAAGAGTCGAAAAAACAAATATCACAATAGATGTGAGACCTATTCCTCATGCTCAAACTGAATGACTGTAATTCTTAAAAGTTCTCTAATAATCTTGACGCTTCGCTTTTAGATTGGAAATACTTATTACTCTCCTTTTCGCAAGTACGTACGTGCCTCATTCCCAGCCTTTGTACTAGTTCACGACCACCAATACTTCGCTTTAAAAGCTCAAAGACATAAAAATCCCATCTTCTTTTGTCCAGATACTCTCGCAGCTAAGTCATAAACATTATTTCATACTTATATCGTCCTAAAGAAATTAGTCGCGTCGTCTGGACTGTGTATTGTGTCATGAAATGTTGAGGGCCTGTAAATCCTTAACAAATAGACAATTACGTCAGATAGATGTGAATATGCAATAAATTAACAACTCACAAAGGGAGTTATCTTGATAACAATATTTGGGTCAAACCGCTACTGTCACAATACCGAACGGTCTCACTATCTGATTGACAAAGTCGACACGTTTTAAGAGGACAAGTGGACAAAAGAGGCATCGATAGACACACTTTATAAATCATAAGCAGCACTGCAAATTACATTTGCTAGTCTGATTGCAAATGGGTTAAAGGTATTTAACAAACCGTCAGCTAATCATTAAAAAAAATGCTGAACACTTGACTTCTGATTAAAAAAAGCGGTTACATAATGATTAGAATACACTGTACATAAATAATCGCTGGAATTCAAGTGGTCACCAATATCTCTTCGAAAAAAAATGTTACGACATGAACGAGAATGATCAGAAACATTGTGTATTTTCACGCTGTATCGCTGTGACAAATGTGCTCGAGTGTCTACTAAATATGATGATAAACATCAGTCAGGTGGGATTAATTAATACTGTACCATCTAAGTCACTGATAGAGAAGGTCGGTCGACTAAGCAATTTCCACAGTTTCTTTAAACGGAGACACCCCACTTGCGTAACATAGTTGTACTGAGTACTTCATTTCTAATGTGTGCCTGGTCTCCATTGCGACATTGTCAAGCGGCTCTATTGACGCATTGGTGCTGTAATTGTAGAAGAGCTTTTATTGCACTAAATTGTAACGTACCTCTCCAATTACAGAGCACGAGACTTTTGCTTTAGAACCCAATAGATAATTAAGTGCGATCAAATATGGTTGCTATGCGACTTTAAATCATGAAAACCCTACAAATGATTCTTGATAATAGTGCCGCAAACAATGTTATCAACAACCTTTTACTCGGTGTCGCATCAAAGTCATAATGATATCACGGGTTCTTGGATTTATATGATGTTGTAGTCGACTTAAACAAAATATGGTTTAAGTACAATATTTACACGACTGCTGTGGACACTATATGGTATTTTAATAAATATATTTCTATCGCTAGTAACTCCGGGATTTGAGTCAGTCGGCGCATTATCATTTGATGGCAGTAAGACGTCGCGTTTCCATGTCCAAACTACATCTCGTAAATTATGGCGCAGTTAAGTGCGGATACAGGGAGTAACCCTGTCTCGTTTTTCGAGGACAGGACGGATCTTACCGCGATAAGTGGGAGCCGACACAATGTAAAACTCGGCCAACATAAAGGTTGCAATATTTATTCTACACTCACTTTTGATTTTGCAAGACTCTTCAAGCAGAAGTGCATCATGGCACAAAATCGACTAGAACGCAAGAGAGCTTTTCGAGTAACCAAAAGCGGGCTTACGAAACCGTGTCCTTCAGTAGCGCGTCGTCCAAGTTTTGTCGCGCGCATGTTCAAGCTGATTTTTAAGCGAGGACTCTTTCGTGATGAAACACGATCAAAATCCTGGGCAGGTAAACCAGAACCGAAGCCTGCTGCTGAACCTCTCGTTCGCTACGCTAGTGCTCATGTCATTTCAATCCCATATGAGCCATTAATGCATTCGGAACTGAAAGTGCGAAGTTGTAGTGAGAAAAATGGCGACGATGACAGTGATGAGTGCGATGCAAGCTGGCGACAAAGACAGACTCACTGTATTAATTGCGAAGTTTTATTCTTTACATCATTATCATCGCTGAGCTGCAGTGCAGGACGATTCTGCTCCCTCGACTGCAAAACTAGCTTTGAATATGTGCACCACCTTGAACATGTGCTCGCCGTGCACACGCTCCAAAAGAATATCGATTCATTTGATTCGAGCTCGGATGAGGACGGTCTCGATGTTGAGGAATTTGATCTCAACCAGCTTTAAACTATAGTAGATTCCATATGTAAAGTACTTTAAAAACATGCCATAGTTTTGGCAGAGTAGATACATTACAATGTACATTACCATTTCATAAAAATACATGATCTTACCGCATTCTTGGATGGAGACGCAACCCATCAGATAAAATCTCGTAATGAAGCTGAATCCCTTTCTTGGGTCGAAGTTACGCATGCAGTTTCCAAAAAGGAGTATGATTAGCTACGATCTTCTGTCAAATTAATCGAATCATGATTTGGGATTACATTACTGAGCCTGAGTCAGTGTAAGTTCTGGTAATCTTTCTAATGTGGTGATGCTCCATAATATTTGTCGAGGTATTTTGCAATATATACCGATCTTATTCCAATTTTGGTTTAACGATATCAATAGCCACAGAATCTATGCTAACTACCACAAAATATGCAATACGTATGCAACGTTTTGTGCTTTGAGTCTCAGCCATTTGCTCAATTGCATCTTCAAACACGACAAGCCCCCCAAAAAAGGAAGCAATGCGAATTGTGGTATATGCAGAGTCTTTTAACGATAATCTGCGAGTTATGGCGTAGAAGGAGCATATACACCATCAATACGATCCTCGCGTCCGTGGAAGTCAATGCTGCAGCTTGCACTTATAATCACGGTGCACTGGCAATTAGAATGATAATACCCTATGTATATCGATGACTAGTCACATCACCAATCTTCAAAACGCAGTAACATTGCAAGAAACAAAATTTAGTGCTATATATACCCTTTAGACACCGAATGATGCAGTCGGTTAAGCGGGGCAAATATTGTCTAAGTGCAAATGTAGATTAACATCGGAGATAACACCGTGTGGATGGGTCACATACCGTCATGGTTACGGATATTAATCGCAGAAGCAATGGTAGCTGTTTAGTGGTATATATAAGTCAAGTTACAGAGCTTGGAGCACGTTGTGCACCAGCTGCCGCACGTTAAGGACTATCGCGCTCTGTCGAAACGGCTCCTATCCGTTGATCATCGAGCGCTTGACGCCGTTAGAAATGATAGATGTTGCACTCCGTGCTCAGAAACAGTTGCTTGTTCAACTTCTGAGTGGCCGAGCGCCTTTGGGCGCAGCTTAGCGCCAACGCTTCCGCGTTCACTTCCACCGGATCCCGGTACGGCTTAAGCAAGCCCACATAACTTACCGGGTGGGAGCGCATCCTTCTCGGAAGGTTTAGCGCATACGCAAGGCCCCGCTTGGCCATAACCTTGAAAGGTCCGATAAACCGTGGACAGAGCTTCATCTTAAAAACAGCAGGGACTGCTTGTGAAAAAAGGTTCTTAGCATTTAATGAAACCAGGTCTCCGGCCGCAAATTTTCTCCCATTTTTTCTGCATCTTTCATCTGCATATTCTTTTTGTATGTCTTGGCTTTTAGCATCACATCACGAACGTATCGTGAAATACTCAGTCTGGTAGACAGGAAGTCATCGGTTTCTTTACGCACAGTGAGAGGGATGACATCAGCTAGCAGCTCGGCAATCCCCCCCCACCAATCCCTGAACCATGAAATGGCGGCGTCGGCAGAACGCTAGGATGAACGGGCCCGTTCACGTAGAACGTCGTGTCGCCCACTGCATTGTTCAGAGCGAAATCTACAAGTTGCAGCAACCTCGGAGTCTCAGCGCAGACGCTGCGAAAGATGTCCTCGACGACGCGAGTCACGTACCCAGTTTGATCATCAGTCTGCGGATGGTCCACAGTTGACATACCCAACTTGGTGCCAGAAATTTGAAAATCGTCGACCAAAACTTCCGAGTGAAGCGTGGGTCTTTGTCAAGGACAATTGACTCAGGGAGTTCATGTGGTAAAATGCACGATACACATACAGCGTCGCTATACCGACACCGTCGATGGTGCCACATATTACCGCAAGATGAGCCATCTTACTTGAACGGTCGACGAAGACCATGACATTCGTATTGCCCTTTGGTAGGCCAAACACATGGTCCATACTCATAAACAGCCACTATCCGGGGGGTACCGGTAAGTTAGTCAGCGGCGCCGGCGAATTTAGAGAGGATTTCATCCTCTGACACGTTTCACACGTGCGCACATAGGTGATCACCCATTTGCACAGCTTGGACAACCAGTAGTGGCAACTCACAAAGCTGTAGGTATTTCCACGACCAAGACGACCACTGAGTGGGGTGTCGTGGGCCTCATAGAGGATACACATCGTGAGGAACCACAATTCGAAGCGTATCCGTCGAGTTGTACAGCAACCCAATATTCAATGAATACCGTGCACGCAGTCGCGACGACAACTCCCTGTCCGAGTTTCCATACTCCTTTCTCCCGAGAGCCTGTAGCAGCGCTACACACATACTATCACCCGCGTATGCGGCGCGGATCAAATCCGCCAAGGACGACGTCACCGTCATGACATGAGCAAACTCACAGTCTGGTCTGCGTGACAACGCATCAGCCAAAGCATTCTGCTTTTATGACTCATACTTCACCTCAGAGTTATATTCTGCGAAGAATGAGCCATCTGCCCATCCTCTGCAAGAGGTTAGGCAACTCAGTCGCAGTGCGTAATGACGCATGATCTGTGTAGTTTGCAAGCGACTTTGAGCCAAGCCGATGCACCCTGAACTTGTCAAGTACATACTCCATCGCAAATAATTCCTTGTCATGGACTAGAGAGTCCCTCCACGCAACCATAAGCTGGAAAGATCCGAACGCGATCACCCGATCTCGTCCCTAGGCGTCTGGTTACGGCAGTGAACAAACGATGGCAAAGTCCGAAGCGTCACAGGCGGCACTAAAAGAGAGATCGGGGTCTGGCAACGTCAGTATTGGTGCATGAAAAAGGCTGTCTTTAGCCCCGTCAAAAGCCTGTTACCCTAACACCATTCCACATCCTTCGTAAGGAAATTCGACAATGGCCGTGACATTCCTGCGTAGTTCTTGTTGTACTGGTGCAAGCAGTTGGCGAGACCAAGCCACTTGCGCGAGTCTGCTTTGTTCTTTGGAGCCGGCCAGCCCTAAAATGGCCTTGAGCATAGCGAGATCCGCTTGAATGCCAATCTTCCCGATGAAGCATATTAAAAGGGGATTTCTTCGGCGCCGAAGATGCACTTGTCTGCATTATCATACCGCTTATTCTTGCGCATGCACTCGAGCACCGATCTTGAATGGACGATTTATCTGTCCTCCCGTACCCCGCACGACTGTGGACGAAAATTTCATCAAAGTATGACTGTGCATACGCCCGATGGGACCTGAAGAACTGCGTCACAAGACGACAAAATGTTGCTGGTGCATTTGACAGCCTTGGGGCATCACCAGCCACTCTTGGAGCATGCCGCTCAGAGTACCACCGCTGTCCGCGAAAAATCACTATCTCTCATCATGCGCACTTGGTGATAGCCATCGACCAAGTCGAGTTCACTGAACTTCGTATATCCACCCATGTTGTTCGGAAGATCATACAACCTAGAAATCGGCGTCTGTGCCGGAATCATGGCAGCGGTGAGCTTATTGTAAGCGTAAACGATACACCACTTGCCATTCGGTTTCCAGACACCCAACGTGGGTGTCAAATGGGAAGACTTGCTCTCACGCACCATTCCTGTGTCGTGCATCGCGCGAAAAAAGGCCTCAATGACGTCACACCGCTCTTAAGTTGGGGACATCGGTGTGTTGTGGAGTATTATGCTCCCGGAACCAGGTCGATTTCATGACGCACACCTTGGTCCAGAGGTAGGACCGACGGCAGGTCTTTGGAGATGACGTCTTGAATTCCTTCACCAAAGGATAGTACCGATCCGAGGGATTTATAAAAAATCCGCTTCGTGCGCTCAGCACCCTCTTAGTGTCCTTCAGGACAGCTTCATCCCGACGCGACGACGAGTTAATCTCGTGCAATGACCACTTAGGTTAAGTTACCTCCCTTCAAGGCACCGCTGAACGCTTTCAAGAACATCTCACCCAGATCAACAAAAAGCATCCACTGTGGTAATTGCATCGAAGGATACGTATGTTATACCGTTAAGGAGGGTGTATAGCTGTGCTGTATAATCTAAGGTAGACACACCCTGGGTCAGTGTCGACGCCCTGCGTCTTGCAGATATCACGCGGCATCGCCGTCTCCTTTCTATACTGAGAACACGCACTCGGTGTCGTTCAGTGTTTCCACTGCCTGCTCTCCTATCGGAACGTTGATGTTATCTACAACATCCGACGAAGAGCTGCTATCTCCGCAGTCTTTGTCCACCAAATAACGTGCCACCCCTCGCGCATCAGAAGGGCCTTGCCCAGGATGCCTCGGACCTCGTCCGATCATGTAACTCTTGGCATGCAGCAACTGCTTCGAATCGTGAGCAGTGCTCAGTGGATTACGTGCCACTCTACGTGCATCACTAAGGCCTCGCCATCGATTTCCCCAGCCCTTGGCCGACCATGCCACGCTTGGCATACATCGATTGCTCCAATAATTGAGCAACGCTCAGTGGGTTACGTGCCACCCCAGGTTCAGCGTGCGAGACATGCTCGGGACTTCTGTCAAAAACACTTTGGACAACTCGGCTACGCCGATATCCAGTACATCGACCGTCCCGGTCCAATGCCCGCGCCAATAAAGCTTCTGCTGCCTAGCAGAGGTGGGTTCATGACTCACCAAATCTCTACCATGAGACTTGCGCGTAGCACCCAAGGTCTTTCACCATCAATTAATCCATGGCTCATGGTGCTCCAACCATGCCAACCCAAGGATAAGATCCAACCTTGCATCCAAGTAGAAGGCTCGGCAGCGTTCCACGCTAGCAAAGTCAACACCGAGGTTAACAGGGACTCTTGGCACAGTGAAACAAGTCTTCGTCGCTAAGCGAAGTGAAAGTGTCACTCAATCGTGCTTCCAGTGCCTCAGCATTCAGCTGACTTCCATCGATCGTGGAGCATCAAGCATAAATGCCCGATGCTTCGGATTCGATCAGGATCTTCCATGGCTTCTCAAAGTCCTTCAA